GGGCCCGCACGCCGGGACACGCCCCTGGCCGTTGCAGGGACTGGCCACTATTGGTCGGGATGAGCGTCAGTCGTGCGCGGTGCCACCAATCGCGAAGGGGCGAGGGCGGGACCGGGCCGTACCACACGGCGGGGGAGTCGCCGTACGCGGGGCCGCGCGCGCCCTGCGACCTTCAGGCCCGCGCCGAGGGCAGCGCGCGCGCTCCCCCCTACGGCGGGGCTGTGGCACGGTCCGAAAAGAGTCCCCGCGCGGCGGAGGCGCCGCCGGCGGTGCTGCGACCCTGGGATCGGTGGGGTTATACAGGGCCGAGCCGGTCCGGGCCGGGCTCGGGGGGGCCGGGAGGATCTCCGGGGGTGCCCCGGCCCAGGGGGAAGGGGGCGAGCGGAAGGATCCCGGCGCCGTGCGAATGCAGCGGTGCTGCAGCTGGCGGAGGGAGATGTAAACAAACCGAAGCGGAAAGAAGTCCTCTCTTAAAGGCGCCGCGTGCCTTTTTGCAGGGGCGGTGCGGACCTGCGCTCCCGAAGCCCGGGGGTGCGGGGGGGGGGGCGGAAGGGGGGGATGGGAACGGGGAGGTCCTGGGCCTTGTGCTGGTCCCAGTTCTGGTTCCATTCCTGGTCCTACCACCCCCACCCACGGTGGCGATGTCCCCCTCGGGCCCCATTTTCGGGAGGGGGGGCCCCCACGGCCTTGGGGGAGCTGGAGGGGTTTGGGGGGCCCCGCTGAGGGACACACGCCACAGGGACACAGGGTTGGGGGGAGCCATGGCCGGGCCGGGGGGCGGCTCTGAGAGTGCTACTGGGGCTCCGTGTCTGAGGGGGAACAGGACAGGGGGGGCCTGTGGGACCCACGCCCCGGAGCATCACGGCCGGGCGGGGCACCGCTGTGTCACCAGCGGGGGGAACCTGCCCTGCCCAGCCCCCACACCGGCAGGGCTTCCCCGGCCCGGGGCAGGGCTACCGGGACCCCGGGATGGCACCGCTGGACCCGCGCCAGGAGGGTGCCGGGGGTCCCCAGCCGCTCCCTTCCCCCCGCGGGGTCCCCAGCAGGGTGGGGGTGCCGCTGGCACGGGCCCGGTGGCACAGGGGGGCACCCTCAGGGTGGGCATGGACCCAGAGCGGGACACAGCCTGGGGCCTGGAGACGAACTGCCTGCACGGGGGACATGGCGGCCACCATGCCCCTCTAGCCACGAGGAGTGACCAGGCGGGGACAGGGGCTGACCGCACGGGGACAGTGGCCGGGCCCGAGCAGGTGGCCAGGCCGGAGCGGTTCGCTGCTGTCCCCTCCCTTCGCAGGGCACAGGCAGCGGGGCTGAGCCGAAAAGGCAACTTTAATTGAGGCAGGTTCGGTGATGGCCCAGCACCCTGTGGCCCCGGCGGTCGGGGACGGGCCCGTGGCTGTCCCTGCCACCAGCGGGGCCGCCGCTGGTTCTGGTCCGTGTGTGCGTGGCATTGGCGGGGTGGCGGCCCGGGCCCGTGCGGGGCGATGCCAGCCCCGCTCCCGGTGCCGGTGCTGGCCCTGAGTGTCGGTGCCGGTGCTGGGGGTGTCCCCGCCCGGGCGGGCCCGGCCCGCACAGCCCCGTGGCTGCTGAGGCGATTCCCGCGTGGCTCCGTGGCTTCCCCGGCTCGTGCGAAGCGGGATGGGGAAGGAGGGGTGGCGGTGGCAGCGGGGACGGGGTGGTCACCTCTTCCTGCCCTGCCAATGGCGCAGCAGCCACTGGGTGACGAAGGGCCAGGTGGCCAGGAAGAGCAGCGTTCGGGGGGACACGGTCAGGTGCCACGGAGACATCGCCTGGCAAGGGGACAGAAGTGTCACCGGTGTCACCAAACATCCCCTCTGCTCAAAGGAGCTACTGGTGGTCCTGGTTGCTCCCCTCCTCTGGAGACTGTGCATCGCACTGCCATCCCTAGGGCCATGTCCCCACAGATGTCACCTGCTGAGGGTCCCTCCCCCAGCTGTGTCCCCAGGCCCCGGTGGGCTGTTGGGTGGGCAGGAGGACAGCAGGGCCACCCTGCAGCACTTCCTCCATCCCCAACTCACCTGGGGAGCGAGTGCCGGGCCTGGGTCCGTCCCAGCCGCATCCCTCTGCAAGACAGGAGAGGATTTGGGCTGCAGGTGGGGCTGGCATCCCCCTTCCAGCCTCTGTGCCCTTGTGAGAGGGAGGGAATGGCCTGGGGAGTCCATGCAGGGCTCCTGCAAGGGATCCAGATCGTGCAGCTGGGCCAGGACCCCAGGGGCAGTGGGAAAGAGGGGGCAAGGGAACGAGGGGGCAGGGGGAATGAGGGGGCAGGAGGAATGAAGAGAGCAGTGGGAACGAGGGGGGCAATAGGAATGAGGGGGAAGGAGGAATGAGTGAGGCAGTGGGAATGAGGGAGGCAATGGCAGCGAGGGGCAGCAGTTCCCTGCCTGCACCATGGGCCGGATCCGGGCAGCACCATCTATTGTGAAGAACCCCAAACGTGGGCCAGCCCTGTCCAGGGCCCGGAGCTGAGCGCTGCTGTCCCGGCCAGGCCGGTGCGGTGTCGCAGTGCTGCTCCCAGCCCGTACCTGGGCAGCTCCGAGCGTCTCCAGCCGGCTCAGGCGCTCCCGCACTCGGTGCAGCTCCTCCTGCAGTGCCCGCACCGTGCTCGCCACCTGTGCCTCCAGCTCTGCTGCCAGCCCCGGCGCCAGCTCGGGGGGGCTCCCAGGGTCCTCCTCTGCCAGCCGGACATCTGCGGGCACAGGGACGGGCACACAGGTGGCAGGGCAGGCTGAGCACCTCCCAAGGAGCCCGGCGGCTGGCACTGGCCATCCCCTGATGTCACCCACCGGTGAGCAGTGACTCCCACAGGGCACCTGCCGTGGGCTGCCCACGCCATAGCTGCTCCCAGCCCAGCTGCACCCAGGTTGTCCCCAGGGCCATGCACCACTGTGTCCCTCCAGTGGCACTTGGGTGGCCAGCCCGCCACGGGGTGGGTGCTGTGCTGTGCATGGGTCACCTTGTGACACCTGGTGAAGGTGCCACCACTGGGCAGGACACCCAGGACCAGGGCAACTCCTCCCTGCCCTACTTTGGGCCCAGCAAAGGTCCCAACCAGCCTGGAAAACACCTGGGGAATCCAGGCTGTGAGTGGGACACAGGCAGGGACTCGCTGCCAGCCCCTGGGGACAGCCCAGTCCAGCCTGATTGGCCTCGGGACAAGTTCACTGCCAAGGTCAAGCATCCCGGAAGGGAACAGTAACAGGGGAAAGGTGACACGTGGGCTGTGCCCAGGTGAGGCAATAGCACCAGTCCGAGGGATGAGGGTGGCAATGCCACCTCAGGGCAGCCCAGTATCTCTGGGGACAGCACAGAGGGTGGAAGGAGGCTCCTCCCTGCAGTGGCACAGCTCGAGGCCTGGTGGCCCCCAGACAGCAGCAGCAGCTGTAGGTGGCATCAGGTGAGTGGCACTGCTGTCCCCAAGGCCTCCAGGACACAGGGCCCAGCTTTGCTCCCTGCTCTCCTAGGCAGAACTCACCCCTGGCACCACACACATCCAAAGGCACCACTGATGTGGTTGGACCAGGGGCTGGAGCTGGGCACAGCGAGCCAGCGACCAGCATTCCCTGCCTGGCTGCTGAAGGGCCAGCAGAACGCCCTCCAAATTTAGGCAAATTTGTACCACTGCAAGAAATGGGCAAAGGAAGGGCTGTGTCCTGCAGGAGTAAAGCCACTGAACTGCTTGGGGACCAAGGGGTACAGAGGCAGGACAATTATGACTTCCTTCAGTTACTGATGACAGAGGTGCTGGAGCCAAACTCAGTCTCCTGGGGGTGGTGGCAGCCCCCAGCCCAGCCCAGCCTGTGGGAGGTGGAGCAGCAGCAGCAAGGGGCGCAGGGACAAGCTCTGCACGCACCTGTCTCGGAGCCCAGGGCTGTGAGGTCGGTGCTGCTGCTCCCCTTGGCTCTTCTGCCTTCGCCCCACTCGCCCTGCTCAGCACTGTGGGGCACTGCGGGCTCAGCCCCAGCTTGGACCCCATTTAGGGTGAGCCCTCGCACCTGCTCAGCCTGTGAGATGGGAGAGAAGGGCCTGAGACCCCTGCTCCCCTCCCCAGGGCAAGGGAGGGGGATGCCAGGGCAGCAGTGGGTCTTTCTCTGCTTTGTGATGGCATTTTTGGTGGTGGAGGGTATGTGGGACTGAGGAAAGCTGAATCCCAGTGGTAACACCACCCAGCACCTGGCTTGGGAGAACCTGAGGGGAGTGAGGTGCCCAGACCTGAGGTGACAAAAGAGGGGGGGGCTTCCTCCCTCATTCCACCAGGTCTGTCAGGCCTCACCAAGGCACCTCAAATATGGCCCATAGCAGCAGGGAGAAGTGGGCAACAACCCAGGTGGGGGCATCCATGTAGAGCTGCTGGTCTTGCCCAGCCCCAATAGCCCCCAGTGCCCCATCAGAGCTGCACCACAGGAATGGGGGACTGGGGAGGCTCCTCAGCATCCCCTCTGTGACAGGGACCAGGCTCCAGGAGTGACACAGAGATGTGCAGGAGGGTGTCCCTGTAGGTTCTGTGAGGCTCCAAGGCTGGTGGTGCTGTGCAGTGCAGGCAGGGCAGGGATGGCAAAGCCTCCAGCGCTTCCTCTGTTACCTTCTCAGGCTCCATCTGCTCCAGGGTGTCACAGAACATGTCCCCCTCAGAGTCACTCGTCACCTGGCTCCCCTTGTGTGCCTCGGGGGCAGGAGCCAGCGCAGCTCCTGGAAGGGAAGCACAGGGCTGAGCCCTGGGCAGGGCAGGGGTGCCCAGCTGTGTCCAGAGGGCAGCAGGTGAAGCAAGGGATGTGCGTGCCCAGGGTGAGGCACGAGAGGGAAACTGAGGCAGAAGCAGCTCTGCTAACATGGCCCAGATCGTGTCAAGGACTGAATTCCCCCTTCTGCCCCCATGGTGTCCCATTGGCACAATACCCACGGCCCTGGGGCAGCAGTGGCACAGGCAGGGAAGCTGCCCAGCTCCCTGGGCACTGCCAGCCCCAGCACTCGAGGCTGGCATGGCTGGGACACTGGCACTCTCTCTGTGACCATATTTGCTCCTGGGGGAAGGCTACAGCCACAGCGGGAGGAGGAACCTCCCTGCAGCACCCTGCCCACCCCAGGGCACAGCCAGGGGCCCCTCGAGGGAGGCACAGGGTGGGACCTGCAAAAGAGGCTGTGAGAGAAAAGCCAGAGCTGAGGCATCCCCAGAGAGGGCCAGGGCTCGGCACTGTGAATCCCAGTGCCAAGAAAGCAGCAAACGTGGCTCGAGCTGAGGGAGAACATCCTCTCATGGATCATAGACCTTCCAGGGTGGTAATTTCCCAGTCCATGGGGCAACAGCCTCCCCCTGTCCCTGCAGTTTAGCAGAGTCAGGCCCCTTTGCACAGGCAGGAGTGAGGCAGAGCCAACCCCACGTGTGCAGGGTTACCCCAGTGAGAGCTGCACCCACCAACAGCCCTGTAACGTGAGCAGTGCCTGGAACACCGGCAGGGCAGGAGCAGAGGGGCCTGGAGTCAACAGTTCTGTGAGTGGAAGGAGCCCCAGCCCCAGTGCCTGCTCCATAGAGTCTCTGCCAGGTGCTGGCCACACCAGGGACACCAACCTGGCACGTGTTGCCTGTCCAGCTGCTCCCCAGGCACG